AAATTACGATTGCACCCACTCCGTACAGCGGAACAGGTCTAAAACAGTATAAATTTTAAAAGTCAGTCGCTGGGGCTTAGAGCATGAGAGAAACCCCTAAAACATGTACGCTCTTTGCACTCTACTCTAACAAACGAGGACAAATCCATTTTGTATGGGAAACAGCTGTGTAAAATCCATGGAACAGCTTGAAAGACAATCTCTTGAGCTGAGAGAAAGTCTTAAACACGTGCACTCTGTGCACTCCAATCTTACGAATTGCACCCACTTTGTATGGCGAAAAAAAGGTGGAAAAAGGCCATGGAACACGTTTTTGAAAGTCATTCGCGAGGGCTTAGGGCATGAGAGGAACCCTCGAAACATGTACGCTCTTTGCACTCCACTCTAACGAACGAGAACAAATCCATTTTGTAGCAAAACAGCTGTGTAAAAGCCATGGAACAGCTTGAAAGACAATCTCTAGGGCATGAGAGGAAGCCCTAAAACCCTACGTACACGATCGCACCCACTCTGTATGGCGAAAAAGTGGAAAAAAACCATGGAACACGTTTTTGAAAGTTAATCGCTAGAGCTTAGGCTGAGAGAAACATGTACGCTCTTTGCACTCCACTCTAACGAACAAGGACGAATCCTTTGTATGGCGAAACAGCTGTGTAAAAGCCTGGAACAGCTTGAAAGACAATCTCTAGGGCATGAGAGGAAGCCCTAAACACGTGCACTCTGTGCACTCCAATCCTTACAAATTGGAAAAAGGCCATGGAACACACGTTTTTTGAAAGTCAACCAGGCTTGGGGCTCCACTCTTACAAACAAGGACGAATCCATTTTTGTTTGGCAAAACAGCTGTGTAAAATCCATGGAACAGCTTTGAAAGACAATTTCCAGGGCATGAGAGAAAGCCCTAAATCCTAAAAAACATGTGCACTCTGTGCACTTCAATCTTAAAAATTCCGATCGCACCTACTCTGCATGGCGGAAAAGGTGGAAAAAAGCCATGGAGCACGTTAAAAGTCAATCCCTGGGGCTGAAGGCATGAAAAAAAAACCCTAAAACATGTACGCTCTTTGGCGAAACAGCTGTGCAAAAGCCAACTTGCATCACGGCGTGTGTACTGCTGTTCCGCTTTACGGAATGGATGCCATTGTAATTCGTCCGATTGGAGTGCCAGGACCACGTTTTGGGGTCTGTGCAGGTATGTTGACGACGTTGAGAGAAGGCATCGGACGGTTTGTGTTCGTCTAAGAAAGTCGAGGTTGGCGTAGACTTCTGTTGTTTGCAAGCTTGCAAGTCCATTGCCGGAAGCTGTCACCCTGCGGTGCGGGAATGAAGCTTCTTAGAAGGAGCATCTTACAAGACGAAAGGCTCAGTGATGTCAAGTCCAAATTCGAGTGACAGCTCGTCTGCCAGTTTGGACAGCGACACTAAGTCTGGCGGCTACACATCACAGGAGTCTAAGACGGACAACAATGCAACTTCTTTGCCAGCGGATGGACAATTTCTTGCCCTCTTTTGGTGTGTCCAAATCCACACACCTTTTACCACCCGCACACTTCCACACTTGAACCCAGTAGAACCCGCCAACATGCACGCAAACACACACCACCCACAAAGCCACTTTGCACCCACATAAACAACGCCCACAACACATATAACTCTCTGACCCACAACGACGCGCATTCAGTCAGATCCGGCTTTGACCAGGAAGCAGCTGCTGGAGTGCCTCTTGAAAGCTTACGAGGCCTGCCATCTTACGGTTACGAAAGCTGCGTTTGCAGAGAGCGGATCCCACCTCCTTATTCGAAGCTGAACGTCAGTTCCACTTTCATTGTATGGAGACGATGGCTCGTGTGCGATGGCGCGGCATTGCAGGGAAGCTTCGCAAGAACGGCCTCAAGATGCACTGCTGCTCCGTTGGACTTGGCAGAGGAACCTATTGGACAGAAGCGGCTTGTTGTTTTGTGCCATCTTCAAAGAAGCCACTTTGACTCTGAGTGCATCACGACCGCTGGCCACCCAGATTTCCGCCCAAGCTGCGCAAGCAGCGCCGATCGGCCAAAAGAAGGGTGGAGCCGCCCGAGTTTGCCAAGGTCGTCGCCTGCGAACTGTGGAGGACGTCCATGCTTATGCTCATGCCCAGAGTGCCGCAGGACGGGTGCGAAGAACAGCAGACGTGTGGGTTTGAAAACTGGTAAGGGTTACTGTACGTTCTCGGTTCAGAGCTCTGTTGCTCGAGCATGTCGACTGTTCAGAAGACGATCGCTTCTTTCAGCTCTGCTTGACGCTTCCGAGCAAGAAGCTGCGAGAACAGCTGGACACGGTCTGGCGAGTGCGGAAGGCTCCTGCCTACCGCGCTCGCCGCAACATGACCATCTCGAAGTCCTGAAGTCCCGCATTGGAAGGTGAACACAGATGTTTGCGTTTCCGACCTGAAGTATTGAAGAGGACTCGTTTCCACACTTTCTTTTGCTTTGTTTTGGTTTCCGTGCATGCAAACAGGGCACTTTTCGAAGGGTACGTCATGGCTAAGCCCCAAGTGGGCACCAGCTTCGCCTTCATGACGTTGCCTGGCAAGCAGATTTGCATCTTCAATGATTGGCGTGGCAAGACATGCTGAACTTGGCTGACAATGAACCGTTTTTGGTTGCGATGCCCAAGGGCGGCGATCACGCGAGCGACTACTTGTGGAACGGCGCAGGGTCGGAGAACGTTTGCATGATCTTGACTGCGAACGAACTGACGATGCACTGCGTCAACGGGTCAGTCAACCGCACGGAGACAGATGCGTGGAACGAGCGGTTCAAGATCTACCACTTTCCAAAGCCCTCTCCGCGGGAGAAGCAGGACAGGCGATTCAAGGAGTGGGGAAAGTGCGTGCATTGTTAGAGGACATGGCTGTTGGGCAAGAGCAAGAAGCGTTCACGCAGTGACTGATGTATCAGCTACGTGACTGCTGACCTCGACCTGTTTGCTGTATTTCTCAGATGTCCTCTTCATGGCTATTCAACGTGACTAATCTGCCAACATGAGTACTGTGCCACTGGTCTCCCGTGCCCCCCTGAAGTCGACGTTGAAAGCTTTGACGTAGCTTGTGACGAAGCTTGTCCGAAAAGGTGACAGCCCCGTGCACATGCCTGCTACCTCTGGCTGTTCTTTTGTGCAATGCCCTGGTGCTCCTTTTGCTCGCTCGTTGGCGGTGTTAATGCTCGTGAAAGTGAAAGTCGCCGTGGAGGCACAAGGCACTTTTCAGTGCGTTGCCGGAAGGTTGGTTTGGGGGGGCGCAGACTGTACCACCCCCTGCTGCTCCTTTCAATCTAGTGTGCAAGTTCACGTCGTCATCGGCGTGCCGGAGTCGTATGCAAGGGCCTGCTCCTTTCAGTTAAGGGTTCGTGGTCACTGCTCAGTGTGATGTGCCTGCAGAAGTAGGGCCAGCTGTGGCCGTTTCAACGTGTGCGTGTGCTTGCAGCAGAGGTTTTCCCCACCCCTTAGTCACTAAACGCTAACTCTAAACCGATGCCCTTGAGTGACGCATGGTGTCAAATCTGAGAACCCTGACCGCCTAAACTGACGTGCAGATGTCCAATCTGATGCGCCAGCTCCGCCACTTGTGACTCAAACTTCACAGGAACCTGACCACACACATCAGAAGCCGTACCACTTTTGACATCTGGTCATGGGGCCAGTTTGGCGTCCAGTTGGGGTGACAGCGTGCTGGTCAACTTGATGTCGAGGAGCTGTTCCCTGGCTGTGCGTGACAGGGGGGGGGGGGGGTTAGTGAAATAATAGGAGAACATCTCATAGCCTGCCGGCCGGGTTACTGTGTGCCAACAAACACATTGCTGCTGCGCAGGGACCCTGTATCGTTCTTCGAATACCTGGAGAAGATAGAGCTTTATTGTTCAAAGAAAACAACATTCGAAATGTTGCAGTGAACAAAACATTTGCTTGTTGTTTTAGTGCTTGCCTTTTTGCACAACTTTATTTCCACTGCTCGATCAGTTTTATGCTTGTTTGTGTATGGTTTGTACTTACTGTATACACCCGTCGCAGCGGGACCTCTCGAGGGGCAGGATGCCCGGAAAGTGCTCTTAGAGGCTGATAGATCATTTTTGAAAAACCCACCCTCGCCACCCTTGTATACTAATGTGAGAGTTTTCGCAACTATGTCAGGAGATGACTCCGTGTGCACAAGAGGTTGTGGCAGTATCCGGGAAGGGACCAGGCAGCTCAGCGAGCGTGTTGCAATCAGGGACCCTTGTTAGCGCGGGCCTTACTTTGTGTGATGACAGTTTTGCTTGTCTGCTTGATGCATACAGGCTCGAGTATTGCTCTTCTCGCCACTTTACCTTTTTCAGCACTCTTCATGGCGCGGTCGTTGACACGAGATCAGCTAAATGATTTTCGAGTGTGGCTTCACTCTTTGAATATGGATTCCCTCGTGAAGGTGGCTGAGGTATTGGACGATCTCATGGCAGACCGTGAGATGCAGCAACGAGAGGCTGCTGCAGCTCTTCAGTCTCAGTGGCAGTTTGTGAACCCTGAACCTGACTTGGAGCGACCGGGTGAAGCTGCCTCGTCAAGCTCTCAGCGACAGCCAGAAACTTCGTGACATGTCGTCTGAACCTGATGAGTATCCTGTTCAGGCCGTCAAACTTAGGTTGCACCTGTGAGAGGTAGCGAGTTAGCTAACATTTTCCTCTCGAAGGGGAAAGGAGCCCTGTGTCTCACAGGACTTTTCGAGACTCAACAACAGTCTTGGGTCTTACAGGAGGGATCGAGATCCAACCAGCCGTGCTCGGTACTGTTTCCCCACCACGTGAAAAGATTCGAACGTGAGCGAGTGATGTGAGCAGAATGCATGTTGCTTAGTGGAGAGAGTGTCATGCTTGATGTGTTCGAACACGACATGACATTTCAAGACAAGCACGGTTTTGAACAATAAGTCCGTGTGAATGCTGCTTGTTTCGGTTCTTGTCCAGCGTATCTGGGCCCTTCAGTCCGCCATGACTGCCGAGTTAACTAGAGAAATTGCCAGATGCAAGCAGCAGCTGAAAAGACAGGAAGAAGAACAAGGACGTGCTGGATTGACGCTTCGAATGGTGCGGGTTGTGTTATGCATCTACCTGTTGTCGGGCAGAGCTGACCTGGCCGTTGCTTGTGTGGGTGCATTCCAGCGCAAGCGCAAGCGTCCAGGTGATGCTGTTGCTTTGCCAGACATCGTGCAGTGGTACGAGTCGTGGCCTTTGGGCGACCTACTAACCCTCGGTGATCCCGAGAACGAATACGACAAGCGAGTCAAAGCAGAAGCGGAGCGGTTCATCAGTGAGTTCTCTACAGCAGCATGGGTGTGCCAGGTGAACTACGACAAGCGTGTTGCAGTTCCAACCCTGACCCTGGTACAACGGCACCAGAGGGAGCTTGTGCGGCGAGGTTTACCTGCAAGCCACGCCTTGAGTTCATCGGCTGCTGGCGTCGATGGTCAAGGTGGACGCCCGGGCCGCTATATGCGCCTTTGGGCGCAGAGGTTTCGTCGCCGGTGGAACCTGACCTATGGCCGTCTCCCAAATCGGTCTGATTTGCCTGCAGAGGAACTTCACGCAAAGGCCACTGGTGTAAGGCCCTGTAAGGCGGCTTCAGACAAGGGGGTTCGGGTACCCAACATAAGTTCTGGACCTCCAAACCGCCCCTAAAACCGAACCGATGTTGGCCCCCTTTTCTGGCTTGTTTTAAGACCCCGCCCTTTCTCCTAGAAGAATCAGGGTGTTCGTCAGGGGGCCAGTTTCTGGCCCCAAATTGGGACCGGGTTAGGCCCCTGAAGGCCGTCGCATTTTTCCGCTGGATTGACTGGGCTGGACAGCAGGTGACCTTGTTTCAGAAGGACATCGCGTGGATAAATCTGGACGAAACTTCTCTGCAGCGGGACTACGCAGATGGCAAGGGGACTGCCGTTCGACGTGCCTGGTATCGTTGCAACGCGGGACCTACTCGCCGGCGACCGAAGCGTGGCAACATCACATTGATTGCGTTGAGCTCGCCGCATGCGGAAGTACAAGCAAGATTACCGCAATTCTTTGTTGGCAACAGGTTCTTGTTTTCGAAGCGAAGCTTGGAGGCCATAGAGGCGGACGTGCCCTCGAACCTTCATTTCTGGAGAAGGCAGTCAAGTTGGAATTCGACCGAGGTCATGCTGGAAGTGCTAGATGAGGTGGCGCGTGTCATGGCATCCTTTCCAGACAAGCAGCCCTGTTTAATCATGGACTCGGCTTCAATGCATTACAACAAGCGCGTGTGCCTGAGAGCGGCATTCTTAGGTTTGTGGATCATCATCATCCCATCACAAACCACAGGCCATCTGCAACCTTTGGATTTGCAGACCTTCTCATGCTTGAAGCAACACTTGCGGCGCAAGTCCATCGAAGCTGCGGTAGCATCGGACGCCGATGCTGGGACGGGAAGCGTGGTTGCGGCTGTTATTTGCTGTAAGCGATTCCATGACAAGCCGTAGTTGGTATCGAGGGTTTGAGGCCGCCGGCATAGTCGGTGACCGGCGCAATCTTGGTGGACCTCTTGCATCTATGCGTTTGCCCATCGTAGCTGATGGAAGCATGCCGGAAGCAGATCCAGCATTTGCAAATTGCTACCCCAAGGGTGTTTGTGACAATTTGGATAACTTGCTCAGGCCGATGATGCCAGCTTTAGTGTAGGGCCGCTAATGTGGCCACTGTAGAGTGTCTTCTCACACAGTTTTTCAAAGCGAAGTTCAACCGGACTTGTTGGGCAGACAAAACCCATACTTATTGCCAGATATCGACACCGCGCACTTGTCCACGCTGCATTTCGGCTCTCGGCAACCGACGTCGTTGTAGATTGCTCTCTTCCGATGGTTGGGAGCCATTCGGCTGCAAGGCACATTAACGACGGCAAGGGACTTGGTGCACCTTGAACAATTAGCTTCCAACTCTATGTCGGATTTGCGCGGCCCGCACTCTTGCCCTGCCGCAGACCCTTTGCTTGGACTTCTCACCTGCAATCCTGACGTCCATTCTTGGGAGCGACCCTCTCGTCTCTCCTTTCCCATACCATGGAGAGGATCCAGTCAGAAATCCTTGCGCCTGTTGTGGTACGGCGTCTTCTCTTGGATCTTTGCCAAATCAGGGCAGTGCTCGCGCGACCTGTGCGGAATGCCCACAGCGCTGACTCCGCCTCGGTTCCACCATGGTTAGAATGGTGCGATAGACAAGGAATTGCTGTTCGCAAAGTCCCAAGCGGACTGATTTGTCCGTGGCAAATCTTTGCAGCCAGCATCGGCTTCAGTCTTAGGAGGGAGTGAGTGGACAGAGTGTTACTGGTGAAACCATCTCTTCTAAGACTGGTGGATCCCTAAAGTGCGTCAGTTCTGGTGGGAGAGTTTCAACCTCATGCTCTTCTGAAGTTTTTTGAACAGACACCCTGGCTGTTCATTCGGCCGTAACACGCGCCTGAAGGTGTGTGCTGCTCTGAAGGTGTGTCCTCCAACCTGCATGCGATTTGTGGCTTAACTTGCGCTGTGTTCAAGTGCCGAAAGAACGATTGCTCACCTGCTGGAGTCAACTGGCCATCCAGTCGGTCGTTTGCCTCGCAGCGGTCAACTCACAATGGCTCCAGCTACTTTTAGGAGGCTTGAAGGGAAAGCCTTTCTTCGCGGTTCCCACTGGGGAGCTTGCTGAGGCCTTCTTCTGCATTACACCACTTGACGAATGTACCTATAACGTCTTTGCAGTTGGAGAACTACCGCTTGCTAGCCTCCGCCTTTTCCGTTTGCGCGCGCCATTTCATGGGTGCCCGTCCGGGCCAGCTCAGAAGGTGCTGCTGCTGGGCGGGAGAAAGGCCCATGAACTTCATTGGCCAGCCCAAATTGATCCTCCTCACCCTCCAGTGCTGGAGCATCAAGGTAGCTTGTGGCCTCGCACCCAGTCTATTTTGCAACGCCCAATACCGGCCCCCTGGTCTGCACGTGAGGCTGCCCCTCGCAACAGATTGAGGTATACTGGGCTTGTTGCCAATCTTACCCTGGTGAGTGCCACACTTTGCAGCGGTTGCAGGCTTCAAATTGTGTGGTGTATTGCTCCTTATCGGCAGGAAGTCCTTGAGGGGGACATCCTTCAGTTAACCCGTGATCTACTCCCTGCCCTGTGCGCACTTTGTCCAATATGCTTGCGACCAGATCTGCTGGGAGTCTTCGCTACGTCTCAGCTCAGTCATGTGTCAGTCCCTCCCTGCTGTGCTCTTGTAGACTGGCCTGTCGGCACCCCTTTTACTGTACATGCCTATACAGACCACAGGGCCGTCATGGCGGCGCACCCGTCGTTGGGCAGTGGCTGGCCCGCTTGGAACCTAACGCTCCTGAATCCCAGTGACTTGCATGACCAGCCCTGCTCTGTGCTTGCGTCCTGTAGTTGGCCGGTCGCAATTCTGATGGTCATTTTTGTGCAAGCAATGAGGGAGAGAAGCGGACATCTGGAGACTAGGTCTTTTGTACTAGCGGATGCCCAAGACAGGATTGCAGATCCTGGCATGTCCGTACGGAGGGCCTTTTCCCCCGAAGCACATATTCTTATGAAGATGCAGTAACGGTCCCACCTATCTGGCACCTCTTTTTGTTGCAATTTTTGCCGCATCATGGTTGTTTGCTGCGCTTTTCGCTGTAATCTACAACTTGGGATGGTGCTGTGGTAACGTTGCAATGTGCCGGCATGTAGGGGCTCAAGTCTGAATTGTGGGTTGCAGCATAGTTTGTTGCTCGCGTCTTGGCAGTCATTGGCTGTATGGCCGAGGGACCAGCCCCTCCCTTCATGTGGAGCGCCTCGTCCCACTCTTGGTGCTTGTCATGCCCCCAGGACGCACAACCGCAGCTAACAGGCGTTCTGTAGTGCACGACAACAGGCACCTTCATGACTGTCCTGTGGATGCACTGCGTTGCATTCTCTTTGATGTCTGTACTGTTTGCCTGAGTTTGTGGTGCATAATTGAACCGCACGAGGGCCTCTCGGAGCCTGAACAGGTGTCTCTATGGCGACAACATCAGTCTACGTGGGGCTGTCGCTATGCTCGCCTCCCTCGCGTAGCACCTGGAGTTGAGCATTACGAGGTTGCCCTACCGTCCTTGCACGAGGCGGTGACAGTGGCCGCGGTTTGCAGGCGGTGGGGCAGCATCATTGGTGCTTGGGCTTCACGCAGGCGTTATGTGACTTCGGCGTCCGTCTTCCCTAGTACACAGCGCGTAGCGATAGTGACACGGGTGAATTGTACCCACCTCTCGATCAGGCTCCACATTCCTGAGTTGCTTGATCTAGCTGTCGCGAGCATGCGGAACAATGCCCTGTTTTTTTTTTTCAGAACAGGAGACGGGGTCTGGACACCACTGGAGCTAGGGTGGAGTTGTAGAGGTTCAATACGCCACGTGAGGGCGCCCGCACTCACACGGCAGCTACAGCCTCATTAGATCTCCGGTGCGCACGGTTTTCAGTTCGATGGGACGCGTCTATCGTCCGGTGACGCTGTCCGGACAGGTCACACGGCTTGGGACCTGACCCAGTGCGGGCTCCTGCTTGCGCGCTAGGGTTGCCAGCCCATTCAATTCATGTAGTGAGCCCTCGCTAAATGCGCCCACGCTGGGGGAGCATCTCTGGCGGCTTGGTGATCTACCAAAGGCTTGTGGCTGGCCCGGCAGAGTGCCGAGTATGGGCCTTTCAAGGGGAGGGGGGAGGGTATTCAGGTACGTGAGGGCGCCCGCACTCACACGCCTGAGCTCCCCCCCCTCGTAGGTCTTCCTGCCACACCTTTGCGCGGCCATCTGGAAAATGACCGCATTCATTGGTGCCAAACTTATTGCTGATGTCGAGGCTTGCTATAGGCATGGGCACCTTCGCATGGCTTCTTCACAACCACGGCTCAAAGTGTAGTGTGGCCCCAGCTGCTGAGCGACCCTGAGTGGATGCTGGCTGATCATATTGAGCTCCCAGAGTAGTTGCAAGGGCAAGGCAGAGGCCCCCTTTCTTTCTCCCTTTTGGAAGTCATTGATTTGCGCTTGTCTGCACCTGCATTGCAGCCACAAACAGGCGGCCGCTAAGGTATGCAAGCACCTTGGGATTACTGGCTTGGTGCTTACTTGAACCTCGCACGGGCTCAAAGTAAGAGGGGTGCATTGATTATTTGCTTGCAGACATGTCAATGGTTTCTCCTGTTGATCTTAGCCGTTTTGTGACTTCGTCGCTTTCAGTGCCCTAGGGAGATTTGCGCCTATGTTTCTGTTTGTTAATTTTCATCTCGCCTACCGTAGCATCGGGGGTTTGGGGGTCTTTCGGTTAGTGTGGGTCGGCCGTGGGTGTAAGTCTGGAGTGCCTTTGCGTGCCCTCCTTTTCGGGCGCGGTCCGGGGCACGCGGGGCTCTGTAGGGTGTTGTGCGGTAAGGCCTTGACGTTGGGTTTGGGGTGAGAGTTATAGGGTGGAAGCAGTGCTGGCCGGTGAGTGAGTCGCGAAGTAGGCCGGAGTTGCAGTCCTTGACCTGTTAGCGCGTGTGTGATAGTGGAAGTTTGTAGCCGCTAGCGATGGGCAAGTCTATTGACGCCGATACACAGCTCTGATGCTCATTTTGCAAGGCCTCTCAACGTGGATCGCAAATCCCTGCTCGTGCCCCAAGCTCAAACAGCGCAGGTAAGCTTTACAGATTTTTGTCTTCTCGCTTTTCCCAGGAATCCATAGTTGCAACTGCAACTATGGTACATTTTTGGCTTCGTTGGCGTTTGCGGTTGCTCTGATGCTCATCTTGCCTTGTCGCTGCGCAGGCCTCTCAACATGGATGCCTTGTGCGATAGGCCCTAGCCTTTGTGGGCCCAGGGCCTTGTGCAGTTGAAGATGCTGTTTTCTCAGGATGGCTCAACTTGTCAATGCCCGCAAGAATGTCACCTTGGCAAGCCTGGCAAGTGCAAATTTGTTGTAGTTTCCGGAAGGACACCTCTTGCTTTCAAAGAGGTTCGCATGTACTTGCGTTTCAGCTCCCCCCTGCCGCAACCTGAAGTTTGCTCAGTGCCTCGCATGTTGCACACAAGAAGACTCCCACCTCAACGAAAAGCTTCTGAGAGCATGGCTCAAGCGTTGCCCTAAAAGGGCGGTTTGAGCTGCGCTTTGATGATGCTTGCAATACATCTGTCAGGTGGCAAGCTTAGCCGAATAAGAGCAAGAACAGCTCCCTAAAATTGGGGTCATATACCTTATACTACTATAATTCCTATGAATGGAAAAGGAACCATAAACCCTAGGGCTTGAAGCGACGGGAAGCCCGAAGCAGCCATGCGCGATGGGGAGGCAACTCCCTTGGCCAAGTTTGCCTCTTCCCTTCGCTCGTCAGCGCGGCGCGGAAGAAGTGTGTCCATGCCCGCTGCCACCTTTCCAATGTACACCGTTCCTGGGGAGGTTCTCCTGCAGATGAACGCAGTAAGGTCACACGAAGAGTTGCTTGAAGCTGGCGATCTCGTGAAGTATGAACAGGGCTCTGGTCAAGCAATGTTCGTGTCTCACGAGTGGCTTAGCAGTCGGCATCCGGATCCCAAAGCAGAGCAGCTGACGATTCTTCAGCAGGCCTTGAGGAATATTGTGTCGGGCGCCAGCCAAGTCTGCGTTCCAGTTGTGACTGAGATCCTGTTTGGTCGCTTGCAGCGGCCTTGCGCCGACAGCATGAAGGCCTGCAACCTCTACATCTGGTACGACTACTTTTGCTGCCCCCAAGGCGCCTCGCATTCTTCAAGTGTTAACCGCCAGTCAGCCATTGACAGCATTCCAGCTTATGTGGCGCAGTGCTACTTCTTTGTGATCCTGTGTCCTGCCTTCCAGCATTTCGACCAAGACCGGACGCTGAGCCAGTCCAGTTGGGCACGCCGGGGTTGGTGTAGATGTGAGCGCGGAGCACGTGAGCTTGCCGCACGAGAAGATGGCTTCATAATTGTGATTGAAAGTGCTATGCACCAGACCTTGGTATGGCTGGGGAACAGGATGTTGGAAGCACCGGGGGAAGGGGATTTCACTTTGGAGATGGACAGACGCAGAGTTGGCCGCATGATGATCCGCATGATCTGGGCCAAGTTGCTCTACCATCTCGAACAGGCCGACTTCCACAACTACCGGTTCTTGCTGAACACGCAGAAAGCTCGGTTCTTCCGATCTCTGGATGAGCCCCCCATTGACGGCTTGGTCCCCTCCAGCAACACGGAGGTCGACCCGTTCGCGGAACCCGACAAGTTTCTGATGGACAGGTGGGGGTTGCCGAGAGGGTGCCTTGTTCGGGTCCTTATTAGAAGGGAACCCTTCTCTCTTTGGGGTCTATATTTAAGCGTCCCGTATTGTCGTAACCCCAGGTTTCTGCACCAGAATGGCTTCCGGGACTTCTCCGAGCGTGACGCAGGTGGGTAGTTTCCTAACTTAGGGTCCCTTTTTGATTTTTGGGATCCCAAAACCCTAAGCCCTAAGGCCCTAAGGCCCTAAGCCCTAAGCCCTAAACCCTAAGCCCTAAGGCCCTAAGCCCTAAACCCTAAACGCTAAACCCTAAACCCTAAACCCTAAACCCTAAACCCTAAACCCTAAGCCCTAAGCCCTAAGCCCTAAACCCTAAACCCTAAACCCTACCCAGGTGGATGGTCGCCCCTATGCTTTGCAGCCCTCAATGGCGATCCTCTGACCCTTCGGGCGCTTTTGGCCCACCGGGCCAATCCCAACGATATGACGACCAAGGCAAGAGTCAAGGTGGGAGGGTTTAGGGTTTAGGGTTTTGGGATTTAGGGTTTAGGGTTTAGGGTTTAGGCTTATAGAGTTTAGGGTTATAGGGTTTTAGGGTTATAGGGTTATGGGGTTATAGGGTCCTTGAGGGAGGGGGGTTCAAGAGGGGTAGGTAACCCAATTCTCCCGAATACTCCCCACGACTCCCTCTAAGGGTCCCCCTAAGGTTCCTATAAGAGGCGTTCCAGGGTCATGATATTGTCATCGTGAGATGACGCGAGATGTCGTCTAACGCCATGGCAACGCAGTTTCGCATCCCTTTTCAGGAACAGCTGCCCAGAAAGACCAGGGTTCTGGGAATTGCTGCTTTCTTCCGAAACAACGAAGCCGTGAAGTTGCTGCTGTCTGCAAGAGCCAGCGCAAATGCCTTGGATGAGAACTGTGGCAGCTCTCTGCATTTTGCCTGCGCCGCCGACAATGCGGAAGCTGTACGATTGCTTTTTTCGGCTCGTGCTGACCCGAACCAGAAATGCCTTCCGGGACTCAACCCGTTCCAGGCTTCTCGGCTTTTGGAGGGTTCTGGGGGTTAACCATTTAGGGCTCAGTTGCTCGCCTGGGTATATAAAATCACATAGGCCCCAAAAGAAGGCCCCCGGAAGTGCTGTTGGTGAACCCAAAAACCAGCCCACCAACACCGCGCCTTGGTGAAAGCCCTTTACGATGCTTCGTCCCACCCGGGAGCGCGATGTGGAGCAGACAGTGTGCGATCCGAAGTTAGGGTTTAGGGTTTATAGGGTTTAGGGTTTAGGGTTTAGGGTTTAGGCTCCACGAGACGCCGAGACCCTTGCGAGAGCGTGATTTCGGAGGCAACAGGTGCACAGGCTTCGAGTGCCGAACCCGGCTGGGCTCTGTGCCGAGAAACCCTCAACCCTCAACCCTAAACCCTCACCCTAAACCCTACCCCTAAACCCTAAATGCCCGAAACCCTGATGCCAGGTAAGTTGTGCCTGCGGCAGCATGCGTTCCATGAAGGAGATCCTCACGCAGGTGGGTATTTCCTCAATAGGGCGTCCCCCTAAGATTTTCGGGCTTAGGGCTTATTCCAATCTGCTATCCTAAAGAGGGCACCGACAAGTTTTTGGAGACAGGTGCCGTCCTTGAGTTTGCGGTACAGCCTGCACTTTGCCCTGATGTTCAGTGGCGGAGGGTCGCCCGACACCATCTCGCAGTTGCTGCACGCCCGTGCCGACGTCAACGAGCAGTTTCGCATCGAGATGAAGGAGCCTAGGTGGGCACCTCTCTAAGTCATCATCCCCTTTTTTTGGGGGGTGTTCATTCTCGAAAACACAGAAATTGGGGTTTACGAAAAAAAGTAAGGGATCCCCAAAAAAATCCCAAATTAGTAGGATCCCTTTATTATCAGGACCCCAAGAAGGTACCCCTAATATCGTAAACCCCCCCAAGTCGCCGAGGTGGTGGCTGATCTTGAATGCCACCAGCATCTGGCATCGAGTCAGCCCCTCCAGGCTCAGCTCATTGGCCCATCACCTTAAAAGACCCCTAAACCCTAAACCCTAAACCCTAAACCCTAAACCCTAAACCCTAAACCCTAAACCCTAAACCCTAAACCCTAAACTGCCCGGAAAATGTTGGGCCCCAGTTGGCCCAGAAACTTGCCTGTCTGACTGCTGCCAGAAAACTTTTGGGTCCAAGTCAAGTGAGAGATCTACTCTACCTCTTGTTGCTCGGAATAAAAAAGTCGGATTCCCAGTTAGCCCAAATATTGCCTATCTTGCTGCTGCCAGAATTTGTTTCGCAAGAGGACTAAATCCTGCGGCGAAGCTAGACAAGCATTTTTGACTGGTGTATTAAGAAACCCGACACCAAAAAAAAGGCGACCAAAAAAAAGAAACAAGATAGTTTCCTAAAAGGAGTTTAGGAAACTAAACCCTAAAGGGCGGAGCTGGTAAAGGGTGGGAGCCGCACTCCACGGCGCGGGTGGGCAAAGAAAGAAGATGGAGCGGCCGATCCAAGGCCCCATGACCGATTGCTGCTCAGCACTCTCCGCAGCCGATTGAGCTCGTCGCCCTCTATATCAGCCCATCCGGCTACCTTTCTTCTTTGCTATCTTCTGCACAAACCCTAAACCCTAAACCCTAAACCCTAAACCCTAAACCCTAAACCCTAAACCCTAAACCCTAAACCCTAAACCCTAAACCCTAAACCCTAAACCCTAAACCGTCAGGCTCAGCTCACTGGCCTATCATCACTATGGCGCCACGCCCCTGATGTTCAGCATCCTCAGTGGGTACCTCGAGGCTGCCTCGGTCCTGCTGGCTCATGGGGCAGAGGCGGGTTTGCTTAGGGTTGAGGGTTTCGGGTTTAGGGTTGAGGGTTTCGGGTTTCGCATTGAACCCCCCAAAAGAACGCTCGGAAGCCCTTTTGGACGACAGTCTGGTTCGTATCCCCTCGAAACCCTACTCTAGTCCCAAGAACCCCACTTTAAACTTTACTAATCGATCCGAACTAAGTCACAAGGGCTTCTCACGAGGGGACCTCTTCTAGACCCCCAAGGTCTTCGACCAGAAAGCTAGCCCTCAATCCTTCTTTGGTGTACCCTAAGCCGTAAACCCTAAACCCTAAACCCTAAACCCTAAACCCTAAACCCTAAACCCTAAACCCTAAACCCTAAACCCTAAACCCTAAACCCCCCAGGTGGGCATCATGAACTACCGCAGGAAGACCGCCGCAGAGCTGTCTTCCCAGATGCTCCTGCCCACATGGTTGCGGGAGGCACTGGAGCCTCGAGATCAGCAGACCTTCTCTATCTGACACTCTTGGGAACCCCCCCAAAACTGAAACCCCATTTCAGTTGGTGACTTTTGTGCTTTTGAATGTGATATCTCGGATTGGGTGCATGCAAAGCATGCAAGCCTGAGACACACTCCCCACCGCGAAGTCTGCCGTTTTTTAAGGGCGCCTGTTCTCCAGCGGTGGAATTTTCGTGCAGATATGCGCTCGGTTTTGGTGCAGAGATGCGCATGAGATGCGCTGTTTTCAGACTTGGCTCCGTTTTCGACTGAATCAAGTCGACGACGACGTATCCCGAGATCTGAGCGCATGTCTTTCCTAGAGCTTGAGCAGCTAATGCTGGAATCACAAATGGTGGGGCTGAGGGTTCTTCGAAGCTCCCCCTCCACTCTTCATGCGACTACCCAGACCTGACACCTCAACCCCGAACCCCTAAACCCTAAACCCTAACCCTAAACCCTACCCTTAGGCGGCGGTACCCTGCGCGCAGAGAAACCCAGGACACGCTCTTTGGGGCTTCGGTCTCAAGTAAGGCATGTCCATGCCTGTTGGATGGGGCCCCCCCTCGATCGAAAACAAGTGGAGGGTTTAGGGTTTAGGGTTTAGGGTTGGGGAGTTTTCAAGAGGGGTCTGGAATGTTTGGGGGGTCCTGGCGTGGCAGGCTCGAATCGGGTCTGGGAAGCTTGAAAAGCTTCACGTGGGTTTGGGAGTCTTGGGGGAAGTTTCATTGGGTTTGCGAATCCGGGGGAAGAGGTGCAGGGGGTAAAGGGGTGGGGCCGTCCTTTTCCCCAAGCACTGTGTCAGCACAGAGGGATTTCAACGTTTAGGGTAAGAGGGCCTCTAGGCCATCCAATACCTGCGGCCCTTGCAGCCCGCGGGGGCGCCGCGGACCATGGGCTTGGATGAAAGTGGAGCTCTCGCCTAGGTGTCATGGCTGTTGGATATCTGGGCTCGCGTGATGCGATACTGTCGCGGCTTTTGGACATTCGGGCGAACACGGTCTTTCACCGTTTGGGGTCTACGCTGGCATATGGCGGGGTTTCGCTCTGCACTGAGGCACTTTTCTCATCTTTTCTCATACTCTCGCTTGTGCGGCATTGTGCCGTGTGGCAACCGCTGACCTGCATGTGTTGGTTGATGCTCACAAGCGGCTTGTGTAGCAGTTGCAGGGCTTTCAGCAGCGTTGCCCTTGAAGTAAAGTAGTTGATGCATATAAGTTCAATGCCAGTGCAGGCTATAGGGATAGCAGGGTGTCAAATTTTCTCAAGGGCTCCTGAAGCAAATGGCCCCTAGGTAAGCCTAGGATCCCTGAAACTTGAAGATTGCATAGCACCTATTTAATTCCTACAGCCAACCATGTGATTGAGGGCCTCTTACAATAACAGCTGCAGCCCTCGAAACCCAGTCCCGAACAGGATCCTCAAAGCAAGCTCCTCCTCCTCCCCCCCTTCCCCCCGCCCCAAGCCTTAATCCCTTAGTTTAAGTCCCGAATCCCCAAAGTTGAATCTTGAAACCCACTTCAGCCCTACAGCCCCACAGTTTGGCTTTTGGGCCCATGGCGGCCTACGACTCGGCGCCGTCCATGCCTGGGGGCATGAGGAACGGCTGGGCTTCAGTACGTTTAGGATTCAGGGGTCATGGTTCAGGGTTCAGGGTTTAGGGTCTAGGGTTTCGGCCTGCTTAGCTGCTTCCCGAACTCCTGGATTTTTTTGCTGCCCATTGATGGATATCCCTACCTCCCGCACTCGTTGGTGTAGTGCCCCAAGTCCCGGGCTGCCTATGGCGAGCCAGTAAGTTGGGGAAGCCTGAGGTTTGACCTTGAGCAAGGAACATGCCCAAACCCTAAACCCTAAACCCTAAACCCTAAACCCTAAACCCTAAACCCTAAACTCTAAACCCTAAACCCCTTCATTCAGGGAAGGTACTGGGCCTTCTGAGTTCGGGCTCTCTGGAGTTTAAGCTTCGGGGTGTTTGGCTCCCATGACTCCCTGCAAGGCGTTTCTTTATAAGGCCTCTTTAATAAGGCTCGTTTAGGGTTTAGGGTTTAGGGTTTCGGGTTTAGGGTTTAGGGTTCAGGGTTGAGGGTTTAGGGTTGAGGGTTTAGGGTTTAGGCTAAGGCTTCGGACGATGGCGTCTGCTTTTAGGGAGTCCCCTTGGGGCCCTTTTGGTCGACCCAGAATCCCTGCAAAGTCAAGCCGTGGCTTGGGAAGTGTATGACTCGTCCGTTAAGCTGGGGTTTACGGTGTTCTCCAGGGTTCCTAGGTTCATGGGTCCCCCTACTACCTCCCACTATACTACCTAGGGTTCCCCCCTTATTTAAGGCTACTCAGAGTTTTCTTACACTTCATTACAGCTCTTTTTCAGGGGGGGAATGCAGGGGGGGGGGGGGTATAGAGGGGGGCTCGTAGGGAAACCCATGGTAGGTTCCTCTTTGGCCAGGCAGTCTGCCTTCAACGATTATGCTGATGGCGGCTTCGGCAGCAGCCCTTTTGCCGATGTGCTGCGCTCGGACGTCTTGCAGGACCCATCGGAGGGCCCGACCTCTCTCAGGACCTCGAAGACCGAGTCCCTCAGCCTGAGCCGTTTCTTCGATACCTTAAGCCCAGCTCCTCAACTCTTACGCCATTTAAGGGCGCCCTGAAACCTAAACCCTAAACCTTAACCCTAAACCTGAAAGGGACCCGAATTTGCCAGGCTCAGAGGGTTTTATCATGCTGAGGGCTTTGCAAACCCGAACCTCCCCATATTTTGGGTCTTTAGGGTTAGGGTTTAGGGTTTTGGGTTTCGGGTTTCGGGTTCAGGGTTTAGGGTTTAGGGTTTAGGGCAAGTCGGCCCAAATCCTTGGCCCGGCCTGAAACTCTCAACGCCCCCTTTCGAAACTCTCGGCAGAAGCCCTGAAATTTCTGGAAACCCCAGAAGATCGAGAAACCATATAAACAGTAATAGACGCCCTACGCCACCCTAAACCCTAAACCCTAAACCCTAAACCCTAAACCCTGAACCCTGAACCCTAAACCCTCAACCTAGGTGCCATCTCGCGGCGGCATCTTTGCCCCAGAGCCGCCGGCCAGCCAGCCGCGCACAAGCGCGTACGAAGGACCCAAAGAGCCCAAATACCCCTTAATGTAGGAATAGTCCCCAAAGAAGCCCAATACCCCTTAGGGTTTAGGGTTTAGGGCTTAGGGTGAATATTCCTTAAATCATACTAAGGATCCCTTTCTCAAAAGAGCCCAAATACCCCTTAATGTAGGAATATTCCTTACATCATACTGAAGATCCCTGTAGTTTGAGGTATATTCCTTAATGACGGGGTTTTTTGGCTCTCTGGGGACCTGTATAGTTTGGGTGTAGGGTTCACCTCCAAATTCTTCGTAGAAAATCAGGGAAGTCTGCACCTTGTATGAGGGTATCTGTAGGGGATATGCGGTACTTAGTTCTTTCATTCCCCACGAAGAACAGTGGGTTGAGGGCCCTTCACCCGCCCCAAAAGCAAGGCACGTCGGTGTCAGGGTGCGGTGCCTTTTTTGGGGTCCATCTTGCAATGCGGGCCCCTTATACTGCAGCAGGCTCAGTTCGTTGCACCCCAAGTGTCGGAAGATAGCTATCTGCAAAGCCCCTCTCCCTCCCTTCTCCTCTGCAAGTCCATCAAGTTCCTCCCCCGGAAAAATACAATAATCTAGTTTTCGTCGGGGGGATTCTTCCGCCATTAGCCAGGCTACAGTCCTCGAAACTTCGTGTATGTCCGTATACTCTGCGCGCCTGTGCTATTTGCTAGGTTGTGTATTTAGGATGCCCCAGCCCCCAACCCTAAACCCTAAGCCTTAAAAACCCTGTATGTAGGGTTTACCGTCGAAGGTTAGTCTGAAGGGTTCACGGTTGACGTGCAGGTGGGCCAGGGAGGGGCCAATGTATTCAGAAGGGGTGCTGTGGGTAGCCGAGGGACAGTTTTGGTAATCATTTAGGATCCTGAATTCGGCCTTTACTTGTAGATGGGTCATCATTGCAAGTTTAGGTATATGCATTCATACTAAACCAGAAAGAGGAAAGGGGTACAAACTCAGCACAGGAATTGGCACGGCGGCCATGCTGCCGACGGTCTCCACGTTCTCCGCAACTAGCCCGGACGTGCGTGTTCCGGACCCTGGGAAGCTGTGGAAACACCGCAGGTTAGGTGGTGTGCTTGAAAAGCAATGCTATTCAAATGAGACACCTCCCGAAAACTCGAAAAGCCTTGCTACCCAAATCAGGCACCTCCCCAGACTAGGTCTTCCGGCTCTACGATTTCGGGTCCCACCTGCATACCCGCACTACCTTGCGGCGGGAGGTCATGGAAGATTCCGAAGTTGACGTCCCATAGTTCAACTTTTTTTAAAAAGGGGCTAGGGTTTTGGGTAACGGTTTAGGGTTGCAAGTTTTCAGCGAAAAGTATAAGGGTTTTGGGTTCAGGGTGTGAGGCATGATGTGTCATAGGGTTCAAGATGTTTACAGCCTAAACTTTTGTTGTGGCAAGACGACCTTTTAACCTCAAGGCCTACTTGGATGAGATTCCCTGGAGCAGGAGTACCAGAGTAGAGATCATTCCCAAGGTCCTGCCCTAGGAGTCTGCCCAAAATGCTTGTTCAGCATAAATAGGTCCCCACAAACCCTATGCCTAAAGCCTTAAATCCTAAACCCTATAAACCCTAAGCCCTAAACCCTAAATCCTAAACCCTAAACCCTAAACCCTCTAAACCCTAAGCTGGAAATCCCCTTCCCAACCCGGAAAGGAGTCTGCCGGGGCACCTTCGCTGCTTCGCCTGGCCTCGCAGGACCTCGGATCTCCGGTACATGAAGTTGTTTAGGGTTTAGGGTTTAGGGTTTAGGGTTTAGGGTTTAGGGTTTAGGGTTTAGGGTTTAGGGTTTAGGGTTTAGGGTTTACCCCAGTAAACCTAAACCCCAGCAACCCTAAACCATAGCAACTCGAAACCCTGCAGTAACCCAAAAACCGTAGCCCAAAACCCTAAACCCAAGACCCTAAACTG